ATTACAGAGTATTCTGCAGGTATACAACTTCGGCTCCGCCCGAAGTTAGCTTTCCTTTCTTGTTTTTTTTTAATTTTGATTTTCCTATGGGAGCTAAATCATATAAATGTCCGATTTGTATTTAATTAAAATCGCAATTCCATAGTATTTCAAAAATTACCAAATCACAAAGAACAAAAAAATATTTAAAAACAACAAAGTTATACTTTTGTAAATTATGTTTTTCCGATTGTTCCCATGGGAGCTATTATAATTTCAGTCAAAAGTTTGCAACACAGTGAAGGAGACATTTCCGACCCTATAAAGTATATATATTCTTGATCAGCATCACCAGGAGAGTCAATCTGTCCGTCCGTCTGTACGTCTGTTTCTACGCAAACTAGTCCCTCAGTTTTAAAGCTATCTGCTTGAAACTTTCCCAAAAGTTATCTCTCTATTGCAGGTAATATATAAGTAGGAGCCAGCTTGGGCGAAAATTTAACCCATGAAACAATAGGAAAAAAAATTCAACAAAATTATAACTTTGTTGTCTAAAATTTTTTTTTTCTTTGAGATTTGGTAATATTTAAATATTATGGAATTAATTAAAATCGAACAATAATAGCATATAGCTGACATAGAAACGACGGCAAAATGTAGCGCAAAATCGAAATAGCTTCATTGTTTTTAGTAATTTAGAAATCGAAATGTAGTCGATTTATAATAACTGCAAGGGTATATAAGCTTCGGCTTGCCGAAGTTTGCTTCCTTTGTTGTTTATAATGCGTTAGTCTATTGAGAATTTATTCAAGCAAAAATCCTGAAAGTAATTTAAATTACATCGGCTACATAATTCAAAATGTCGTCAAACATCGAATTTTAGAAATCTACAGCCAAATCTTAGCTAGACCGCAGAAGGGTATGGAACATAAGTTTGTATGCGAAGTTAGTGGCTGTGTACCTGCGTAATAATTGCAAGTTTATGAGGTAATCTGAAAAAAAACAAGCCAAGGAAAACGTTACTTTTATCTGGTTCCCAAATTATAAACAATGCATAACAAGAAACGAGGATTCAAGTCATCAGACAACAAAAGGACGAACAAAATGTACGGCATAAAATGCAGTGTATAGAATTTCGACACGGTATATTAAGCGGGGAGCAGATGTTTAAACAGGCAATCACAGTCCCACTTCCAAAAGTTGTCTTTCTATTGCAGGTAGTATATAAGTCGGAACTAGCAGGATTGGGTGACTATATCATATAGCCCCCATAGGAAACAACCCATACCTTAAAAAAATGTAATCCAAAAATATTGACACATAGGGGCGTGAAAGTCAGTCTTCGGCGCACCTTCAAAAAAATATGTCATTCAGCTAAGATCAGGGGTTAGAAGTGTGTGCTTTAGTTTTTTCAATACCTAAGTCATATGGGAACGACTCCTGATCATGGTATTGGGGTCATTTTAGAGTAGGTAAAACATCCGATACAACATTTTTGTGACGTCACAGATTAATCATTCGACTAAATAAACTACCTTTCTAAAATGTTATAACGCGAAACTGCAAAAAAAATTTACCTTGGGGCTTTTCATTCCGCAATGACGAAATAAGTGAATCGGAAGATGCTGCTGTCATGTTTTTCATTTCAGTGCTTCTTCAAAAAGCGCTCTTAAGCCGGTATTCAAATTATATTTTTTCTATATCACTAAAATTAACAATCAAATTATTAAGCGATCTCAAACAATTTTACCTAAAATTTACAAAGCTTATAACGTTAAAAATTAAACATAAAAATCTAATATTTTTTTTACAGATATTGATTTTGATCAATTGAATACAGGTAGAAGGAAGCTTTTGTGGCCCCATAAAGTAGGCTATATTCTAGATCAGGACCGAGTTATTGACCCCTTGTCTGTCCGTATGAACGTCGAGATCTCGGAAATTACAAGAGCTAGTGATTTGGGATAAAGCATAAAGATTCAAGGATTTCTTGCACAGCGCAAGCTTATTTCAAAATGTTGCCCACTCTAAAGCTCACTAATATTGGGTGGTATACGTCAAAACCGCTCTAAAAAATCTTATTCGGTCAATGTCTATCGACACACCTAATTTTAAATGTAGCAACACCATTACTTTAGAATGTATAGGATATGTTAAGTGGTAATTATGCATATTTGAAAAACGGAATTAAGAGCGAGAAAATGGGCGAATGGTGCTCGCCCTTAGCTTTTGATGCTGGCACTGCAGTTAAGCAGATTTATTTTGGTTACTTGAGTGACGCGTTTTTTATAGTCGTTTCTCTCTCATTTTACGTTGTATTAAACAGATTTTGATCATTAAAGTTATATTATCATTAACTAGAAATATAACCTTTTTCAACTGTCCCATATACCTAACAATCCTCCAATAAATCAATTATATAAAAATTGTTGAAGCTGAAAAAAACGGTATTTTTTGGGCTGGACTGAACCCCGTTGTCTCCGCTAACATCTGCAAACGGCACTTAACACCGGCTTTACATTCGTATCAGCCTAAAAATCATCGTTTTTTAAAAAAATCCATATGAAAGAAGAAAGGAAAACTAACTTCGGGCGGAGCCGAAGTTGATATACCCTTGCAGAATACTACGTAAATTATATTCTCCAAAATTATTCATATGATGCATTCTTAATACTCATAAAAAATCCCAACTACCTAACTTTAAAAACACCAAAGTAATGGAATTTCCAATCGTTCAGTCTTATGGCAGCTATAGGATATAGTCGCCGGATCCTTATGCAATTTGGTAGGTCGGATTGATTGGCCAAAAATAAAACCCATAGAAAATCCCAACTTCCTAACTTAACAAACACCAAAGTTATGGCATTTCCGATCAATCAGTTATATGGCAGCTATAGGATATAGTCGGCCGATCCCGGCCGTTCCGACATATATACTGCGTGCAAAGAAAAGAAGGTTTTTTTTTTTTTTTTTTTTAAAAAAAAAAAAAAAAGGGAGGGGGGTTTTTTTTTATTTTCGGGGGGTTTTCCTTTTAAAGAATTTGTTTACTTTTTGGTCGGAGATGTCTCCATCACTGCGTTGCACACTTTTGACCAAAATTATAATACCCTCTGCAAGGGTATAAAAAGATGTACCAGCGGATTGTTTAGTTTTAAAAGAAATTTATATTTTTATGTGCGTATATTAATAATGGCAGCGCCAAAATGTTGAAAAGCTTTAGCATATATAATAACACAGGCACTTAATGACCAAATTTAATTTACCAAAAATTAAGATAAAATTTTAAAAAGTCATTAAAACAGGACAAAAACTTAATTTAAACTTACATCATCCCCCATTGTCAAGAAGCATCCAACATCCAAATTTCTTTGAAATTATTTGATATTCTACTGATTGCTATTTATCAAGATCAAGTCCTTCGAGTTAATTGAAATCCATTAGCGTTTAACATTGATCATTACAACTTTCAATTTAAAAAAATTTTACTTACGCAATGGGAAACGATTAGAAATGATATACCATTGCCTTTTGCTATATTAAGGTATCTATTACTGAACTAGTAATCCAACTATTGGACCAACGCACCCAATTTTTTTTGGTTTAAGGATGTTCATTTTTCGAACACTTATTTTTATCCATAAACCTCTCGTCATACAAGCATTCGTTTTTAAGTTCACGTCTAACACTAGACCTACTATGATTTATCTAAACATTATCGTATTTTAGTTTTTATATTAGTTACCTTCCTTTTTTGAAAATCTCAAATAGAAAAACACTCAAACTAAAAAATCATTGTAACATAAAATGTTTATGATATTAATAAAATAAGTTACATATATAAAACGCAGCGTTTTCAATTTTGGTTTTGAAGACGGTAAAATTTTAAAAAAAATTTAAGGTTATGTAAATTGGATAAGAGAAATAATAAAATCTATTTTAATAACTTAATAACTTGATTTTTATACCCGTTTCTCGTTGAATAAAAGGTATATTGTTTTCGTGGAAAAGTAGGAATCAGGTGAAAAGAAGCGCTTCCGACCTTTAAAATCGATCTAGGCATGTCCGTCAAGATCTCAAAAACTACCAAAGCTAGACATTTAAATGCTAATGCAGTTTTTATTTGGTCAAAAACTATCGACACACTAAAAATGTTCCAAATTGCACCTTTTTTTTATGTTATTAGAAATTGTATATGGTTGTTATGGCATCACAACTTATTTAAATAACGCGGTTGATATATTTTAGAGAGGAAAAGGGCGTGAAAGAACTGTTAATGGGGACGCCACCTAAAATGGACATACTTATTTTAAAATTTGTTAGCCGAATAACGGGTATCTTACTAAAGCGTTTCTCCTTAATTTTCTCATTTTTATAATCTGTCGCAATTTAATTATGTAGTTTTGTAATTGTAAGAAGTATTAACGAATATGTTTAATGCAAAAGATGTAATAATCTTTTTCATTTATTTTTCATTTTGTTCTCATGAGAGCTATTTGATATAGTCGTCCGATCCGTCACGTTCGGTTTTATACAAATACCTGCAAAAAAAAGAATACTTTTAGGAAAACAGAGAGACTACTTTGCGTAAAAACGGAAGGACGCAAAGACCGAAAGATGGTCAGATAGACGGGACGACATGGCTAGATCAACGCTCCAAGTGATGCTGATACTTATTATTTATATCGTCGAATAGGGTAAATTAATATTTAGACCAATACAATTCAAATCAATAATAGATAGTTTCGTAACGTTCAGAAAAAAATTCCCAAAGTAGAAACTACTTTGGGAACACTAATCTGATTTTTATTCCCAGTGATCCTGTCACGTCCTACCAATGCATACATACATATGCTCAGCCGGACGGTGGCTCTAAGGAAGAGTGGAAGAGGGATAGAGTAAAGAGTAAAAAGGGAAACAGGTCTGGTCTAGCATCTATGACCTGCGGCGAGGGTTAGTGCGCGAGGGTGTGTTTGTTGTGTTCTCTTCGTGTACGCCGACACAGCTGCAGCAAGATGCAACATCATCAGTGGTTGGTGGTTGAACGAACATTAGCAACGGAAACGTCGGCGTCAGCAGAGACGCTAAGCAAGAGATGTTGAAAAAGCAAGATTGAAAGAAGCCGAAAACATACAAAAATCAGTTTTTGTTGGTACGTGCTCTCGTAAGGTCAAACCACCGCTACAGTATGTTTATCTATGGATGCACTTAGGATGACAATTTCGGAATGCATCCATTAACAGGAAATCACCGAAAATCAATTCGTTCATAAATGTATGTGTGAAAAGGAGGTAAATTAACTGAACGTTTGAGCTGGGTACTTTGAGGAAAGAAAGTGTCTTCTTAATCGGCCATTGCTCCATCGCACTCACCGTCAGCGGCCACTATAATTCACCCTCCATTATTTTATTATGGGACACGAGGTCTTCAGCACAAAGTCTCAGCTTTGGCTCCAAGGGTTTCCGGCGCCGCGGGACATACCGAAAATCGTTATTAGTTCGTGTCAAAGCAGCAGTAGTCTTCACAGCATCCGCAGCGCTAGTCGCCATGATATACACAGCTCTCATGGGACCGGATCCCGTGAAATAGCTGCCAGCTACGAAACCGCGTCCACAGAAGGCGGTATTCTGATGGACAGTCCTCTACAAAGAAGCGACGCTATATCCGAGTTCGAACGGTTTGCCCATAACCCCACTCACATCCTCGAATCCAGCGAGTGCAGCGATGTAACGAGTGGTGTCCAGATTGCCCCGCCTCAGAGATCTCAAACACTGGATATGCTGAACTCCAGCGACTGCTCGCATTCTGATTCCGATTCGCGGATAGAAAAGCGCATTCGCCACAAGTCCATTAAGGCCCAAGCTAAGTGCTCCTCCACTGCATTTAGAACCACGGAAAACACATTGCTTTCTGCGGCAAACGGATTTCCGCCCCATTATACGGCCATTTTTCTGGGCAACCGCCATCACCCCAACGGAAGTTCGGAATCTGTAAACAGACAGTTATCTGGACAGTTTTTGACCGGCAATTCCGGGAGGAGTGCTGACCCGTCCTGCTACCTGCAGTATCATCAGTATTTTCCATCGCGACCCGTAATGGGCAGCTTAGGACTCGAACTTGCGCACCAGCATCAACCCCATCTTATGAACCAACCGCCCAGGTAAAGGTTAAATTAACTCAGCTGTTATATATTATATTGGAAGATTATACATTCCCCTTAACTCTTCAGTAAGCATTGTATTCTTGCAAAAAGTCATCAGCGGCTTAATTCGCTTACAATTGAACTTAAAACTTTAGTCAGATATCGGATTATATTACTGACCATTATTTGACGCTTTGGTTCTACCCTTTTTATTAGCGCAATGTAAAAGCTAGAGCTTTCGCTATATCGTCATATCTTAATCTCGGTAATTATAGGCCAATAAACTTTAAAAATCTAACTGATCAGACAATCCCATCAAATTTCGATGGTTCTTAAAATTATTTTTGCATGTTTCTTGCCTAACAATTTTGAACACAAAGAAGCGAGCTTAATCGTATACGGATAAGTAAAATTAATTTTTAGAATCCTAACCATATGTAAATCCCGAGTTATATAGGAATATATTAAAGAACTTATGTCGATTTTGCTATTATTTTCCTGTTACTTTTCCGATCTAACTGCACCGCTAAACCAAAGAGTATTATGATTTTCTGAACTTAAGTAAACTTAGAAACGCACAGGACCCTTTTGCAGTATTTTTATACCCTTGCAGAGGGTATTATAATTTTGGTCAAAAGTGTGCATCGCCAAAAATAAAACCCATAAAAAATCCCAACTTCCTAACTTTAAAAACACCAAAGTTATGGCATTTCCGATCGTTCAGTTATATGGCAGCTATATGATATAGTGTCCCGAACCGGCTCGTTCCGACTTATATACTACCTGCAATAGAAAGACAACTTTTGGGAAAGTTTCAAGCAGATAGCTTTAAAACTGAGGGACTAGTTTGCGTAGAAACGGACGGACGGACAGACGGACGGACAGACGGACAGACGGACATGGCTAGATCGACTCTCCTGGTGATGCTGATCAAGAATATATATACTTTATAGGGTCGGAAATGTCTCCTTCACTGCGTTGCAAACTTTTGACTGAAACTATAATACCCTCTGCAAGGGTATAACAATGAAGCTATGTCGATTTTGCGCTGCATTTTCCCATCGTTTCTATGGCAGCTATATGATATTGTTGTCCGATTTTAATTTAATTAAAACCGTAATTTCATAATATTTACATATTACCAAATCTCAAAGATAAAAAAAAAATTAAAAACAATAGATTTATAATTTTTTTGAATTGTTTTTTCCGATTGTTTCTATGGGAGCTATATGTTATAGTCGCCCGATCCGGCTCGTTTCGACTTATTTACTACCCGCAATAGAAAGACAACTTTTGGGAAAGTTTCCTGCAGATAGCTTTAAAACTGACGGACTAGTTTGCGTAGAATGGGACAGACGGACGGACATACGGACGGACAGACGGACATGGCTAGATCGACTCTCCTGGTGATGCTGATCAAGAATATATATACTTCATAGGGTTGGAAATGTCTCCTTCACTGCGTTGCAAACTTTTGACTGAAATTATAATACCCTCTGCAAGGGTATAAAATTACTCACAATAATATTAATTCGAAAAGGGATTTCGAATTTTGGCCAAATGGCTGAAGCACTAGTCTACGAGATTAGCAGCTCGGCCGATCGCATATTATTCTTGAAACAGCATTTATTTCATATTATGGCTGGTCAAAAAAAAGGTGAGATTTTTGGGGAATTTACTTTTATAAGACAATACCTTTTCCGAGCTTAGTTAAAAAACTTGATCAAGTTTGAAAACGCCGCTGATCGCTGTGTGAAATATAATGTATTTCTTCCATTTTGGACCAATAACTTTAGATTTATAATACTAAGATTTAAACGTCATGCATGCAGTTTTTTATTGAAAAACCAAAACATACAATTATTAACCGTAATCTTAGCTAAACGCCACCTGACATCACTAAGGAATTGGATAAAAAAACAATGTACTTAGGCCGGCTCAAAACGTCTATGGTCTGTGTTATTATTAAAACAATTATTTAGTTTACTTAAAAAATAAGCTTAAAAATGTTAATATTGGTGTGAAAGGCCTGGACTTTTTAACTTTTCAAATATTGAGAGTTATTTGAAAAGTTAAAAACATTTTTGTGTCGAGCTGTTTACCAAAATAAAAATAATTCTAGGACCCTAAAGCCGTTATTTGATGCATTGAAGACCATTTTGTCATTTTGAAAAGAACCTGAAAACTTCACATAACCCATTCCCATCATTATATGGACCAGCTTCACCAGGAGAGTTTATCGAGCCATGTCCCTCCGTCCTTTCATCCGTTTATACGCCAACTTGTCTCTCAGTTTTAAACCTATCTGTATGAAACTTTAATAATTAATATTAAATATTTTTGATATTATGGAACTACCAAAAGGAGTAACAAAAATATTTTTATTCTTTCCTCCCCTCAAATTAATGATATCTGAATGTATTGGTAAAGTAATTTAAAAACGGTTCTATAAGTTTAAGCATCAATTTTAGTTAATTGTTTTGGATAAATTCTTGCTCTATGTAGATTCTTACTCTCTACGGAATTTTTAATTTATCATATATACATTTTTAATCGCGAAAATAATAAAATTAATTAATAAACATTTAAAATTTTTTTTGTTTATTTAATTTGAATCGTAAAGAATAGTAAAAAAAAATAATTTAATTAAAATTTGCATAGTTACATTTACGTGCTCATTGTTGTCAGAAGGGTAAAAGAAAAGTTCTTTCCCCTTGTCCTAACATATTTGGCCGAAACTCAAGAGTTTCAAGTTTTCCTTTCGCTGAAGTTTGTTTAATGATGTTACCGGTTAATTGCAATTTATTTGTTAGTACTTTAATTGAATAAAAAAAAACGCAGTTATCTAAAGTAACAAAATTATGCAAATTATTTATATTAATTAGGTAAAATCAGAAAACTTATGTTTACATTATTTATTATCTTTCTTTTTAGGAGGATTTTGGATGTGGCAGTTCCACTGCCCGGCAATTCCCCAGATGTCGATAACTACATGCCGAGCGGAGACCTGAGAAGCGAATACGGAATCCGGAAGTGTTTCTCACGTCCTTCCCTACCTTTTGTGATTAGTATTTTTGCTCTTGGTGGCGTGGCGTGCACCCTAGGCGGCATAGTGCTGGGCAGCACAGGTCTTATTGAGCACTCCACTCAATATCTAAGCGCCGCTCTATTGATGATTGGTATAGGAGTTTCATTATTGGTGATATCGGGAGCCATTTGGCGTCTGAGTTTGCCAGACGAAGTCGATAATTGTCTATGCTTTAGGCAATCTGAAACTTGTCGCAATTGTAATAGTCCGCACTGCCAGAACCGGGCTCTTTCTGGCAGCTACCTGTACCCCGAGTTCCAGAATCGACAGCCGCCGCCATCCTATCTAACATCTCTTAACGAGTATGCTTTGTTCTACTACCATAGTGCTAATTCGGCAGCGACCGTCGTAGCTCACACCCCGGTCGGAATAAGCACTCCTCCACCGCTGTACTGTTCGACGTACTCCCTAAAGTAAGCAATTCTACATAATTTTTATTTGTGCCTAGAATCTGATTAATCAATTTTACAGTACATCAAATACGAGTGGTCCTCCTGAAAGATATTCTTACTCGCGAACAATAGAGTTCCCATCGAATAATCGGGCGGCCGCCTTGTGCACCAGAGAGGATGTCGGTCAAACATCATCCAAGGATTTAAATAACGCCGAAGTACCTGCGGCTGAACCTTTGGGACGACGAATACTATCGCCAAACACCTTCAAAGATGCTGAGCTTGATTAGAGCTCCCTCCTAATATGTATACTTTTATACCTTTACTTGAGAAATTAAGACTCTTGATTTAAGTGTGTTCACGTGAAAATTCAGATTGAGCACCTATTTAACTATTGACTGATTTGGAATTTAAAAATTACGAAAGCTTTATGGGCAAAAAACGACCAAAACAAATCTAAAAAGAAACAATTACAAAAACAAAAGAAATTAAAATTATAAGAAATTAAAATGTTAAAACGACTAAAACTTCAGATACAAGCTTATTATAGCTAGAAAGGTAGATGAAAAATTGTGTTTCCCCTGTCATAGCATATTTGGTCAAAACTTAAGTGTTGCGAAATAAGGGCAAAAATTTCCTTTTTGTGCCTTTTGCATGAAGCCCAATGCGGAGACGCAGTATCTACAGTTTGGAAACGCTATTAATATTGCTCTTTTCCCATGATTACAAATGAACACGATCTCAATAGACTTTTAACAGCTGAAAAATTAAACTACTCCATAAATCTCGTCAGTGGTGCCATCAGTCGGTAGACGCATGAACTTACCTTTCAGTCGTTGTATGTATTTATTTTATATATAGAGTGTTTTTATCGTTTTCACTTCAAGTAGGAACAAGAAAGGAAGAAAACTTCGGCAACTCGAAATTTATATACCCTTGCAGTTATTACAAAACGACTACATTTCAATTTCAATGCCAATATTACTAAAAACAATGAAGCTACATATGTATGTCAAATTTGCGCTGCATTTTGCCACGTTTCTATGGCAGCTCTATGATATTGTCATCCGATTTTAACAAAACTAAAAGTGTAATTCTGATATAGTAAATAATTCTATATCTCAAAGGAATATTTTAATAAATAGAAAAACAGCAAAATTCAATTTTTTAATTTTTAGAGCTATATGATATAGATGTCCGATTAAACCGTAATTCCATAGTATTTAAATATTACCATATCCCATAGATCAACAAAAAAATTAAGAACAACAAAGTTATACTTTTTTAAATTTTTTTTCCGGTTGTTCCTATGGGAGCTTTATGATATAGTCGCCCGATCCGGCTCGTTCCGCCTTATATACTACGTGCAATAAAAGGAGATAGCAGATAGCTTTAAAATTGAGGGACTAGTGTAGAAACGGACGGACGGGCTGTTTCCTTAGTTTTGCCGAAGCTGAGATTGGTGTCCCGAGTGAACGCATGACGTGACCAAGGAAAGTAATTGTCCATAGTTTTGGCGGTCTTTTTGGGATCTCGCTTCCGCCTGTGAATATGAACTTTTCATATGTTTTTAAATAATCTTAATTTGTTTTATTCATTTTTGAATTTAATAAAAAACATTTTGTAACTTCTAAACCCTATTTTAATTGGTGTTTCCCAATAAAATCCGCAAGGGTTTTCGGCTAACCGAATTGTAGAATTTACTGATAAGCCGAAGGTGGGAAGTTCCCAAAATGCATAAAATAATAAATTTCCCAGCAAAAAACCAATGCGTAAACATTTTTTATTTCGGATCGGATCAGTCTTCATAAACCTTTGTAGGACACATACAGTGACTCCATCGCATAATCGGACAAGTACCTTCTTATGATAAATGTGCCGTAAAACTATACAAAAACAAGAAAGGAAAGCTAACTTCGGACGGAGCCGAAGTTGATATACCCTTGCAGAATATTCTGTAAATTATATTCTTCAAAATTATTTATATGATGTATTCTTAATACTCATAAAAAGTCCCAACTTCCTAACTTTAAAAACACCAAAGTTATGGCATTGCCAATCGTTCAGTTATATGGCAGCTATAGAATATAGTCGGCCGATTCTTATGAAATTTGGTCGGATTGATTGGCCAAAAATAAAACCCATAGAAAATCCCAACTTCCTAACTTTACAAACACTAAAGTTATGGCATTTCCGACCAATCAGTTATATGGCGGCTATAGGATATAGTCGTCCGATCCTTATGAAATTCGGTAGGTAGGATTAATTGGCCAAAAATAAAGCTCATAGAAAATCCCAACTTCCTAACTTTAAAAACACCAACGTTATGGCTTTTCCGATCGTTCAGTTATATGGCAGCTATATGATATAGTCGCCCGATCCGGCTCGTTCCGACTTATATACTACCTGCAATAGAAAGACAACTTTTGGGAAAGTTTCAAGCAGATAGCTTTAAAACTGAGGGACTAGTTTGCGTAGAAACGGACGGACGGACAGACGGACAGACGGACGGACAGACGGACAGACGGACAGACGGACATGGCTAGATCGACTCTCCTGGTGATGCTGATCAAGAATATATATACTTTATAGGGTCGGAAATGTCTCCTTCACTGCTTTGCAAACTTTTGACAGAAATTATAATACCCTCTGCAAGGGTATAACAACGAAATGGACCGATTTTTTCTGTTTTTATACAAGTTCAACATTGTTATTATTCAATAACATAAAAAGAAAATCACATATTTCCAGGAAAACTCTTAATTTATGAACTAAAACATAATTATTCTATTATTTGGCGCTCAACGTATAATCGGACAAAGAAAAATATGAATGAAAAAAATAATAAAACTTAATATTTAGTATTTGGTTGCGAATCCTTTGTTTTCTAGAACAGCTTGCAAGCGCCTAGGAATGGATTTTACCAAGTTTTCGCACACTTCCGGCTCAATGGAGTTCCATGCTTCCAACAAAGCTGCCTTGAGGTCATTTATAGTGTTAAATTTTTTTTGGTACGCTCTTCTAGCCAATTCTTCCCAAAGATGTTCAATTACATTAAGGTCGGGTCTTGGCGCTGGCGTTTCGACAACTTTGGGACAGTTATGGATCAACCAATGCTTTGCAACACCCGATGTGTGCTTAGGATCGTTATCCTGGTAAAAGGCAATGTTGTTAGCGATAGCCAATTTCTGAGCACTTAGCTTTAAATTCTCTTTTAAAACCTTAAAGCTTAGTACTCAGATCGACAAACGAGTACGCTAGCGTAAAAACTTTAATCTTTCCAGTGTTACCAAAATTTCACGAGTTCATCAGAATTAAGCGTGCTGGTTTTTTGGGATTCGGTTAAAATACAAATATCGTATTTGCAGGAAAGAGCCTTTAAATGATATTATCAACTACATTGTCAAGACAAGTCTGCCGCTGTACAAAGAAATTAAAAAACAATACAATTTAAATTTAACAATTGTTTTTTTTTAATTTACTGATAATTATTTGCTAATTTAAAGTTCTTAGCTGCACTTTTATTGTGTTTTTTCGTACATTTTTGTCCTAAGAAATATTTTGCTCTGCCAAGAGGCACCCCAGATCATAATATAATAACATAAGGTAGTCTCGTCGGCTGTCTAAACGTTCGGGTTTTGGTCAGTGCGTGTTCGTTTTTTGAAGGAAAAGGTTGTCTGCGAACCAATTTTTTACAGAATTAACCCTTGAGCAACATGACTTTTTGCAATGTGTTTGAAAAAAAGAGCGCTGTGGGAGGAATCGCTGGGATGCAAACTTGGGGACTCATGAAACCGTCTGCCCAGTTCGTTGAAAAAATAAAACAATTAGAACTTATATTTGTACACTACATTGACGATACTTTTAAAATAACAAAGAATGTAAAAGAAACTTTAATAATCGCAGCCGAAAATGTTAGTATAAGTTTTGACTTAAAAAAGTTTTATTTTAAGATTAGAATATATTTTAGAATTAAGAATTTAAGAATTAAGAACGCCTAATTTCAAATTCCAAATTATTAAAAATTAAATTATAAAAAAAATTAAACTTTCATTATGAAAGGCAAAAAAAAACCCCTGAACCATCTAAGGGTTAATCCACATATTCTATTGTCGCTCTGCTCGCACTTACTAAACAGTTCAAATTTCACTCGCACTCATTGTTATAATAGTAGAGGTGCCAGATTTTGCCGACGAGACTACCTTATGTTATTGTATCATGCCACAGATAGTATCAGAGGCATCAAAATGAGAATAAGAATGAGAGCGAAAAAAAACCCGAGGGCACACGAAGTGTCCGGGGCCTGCCGCTACCAGCTGTGGGGCCTGCCGTAAAAATACTTTTGTGTCTATTTTAGTTGTATGAAATGACCAGTCTATATGTTGTATGGTTAGTGGTATTACGCACAGTATTGAGACACACGTCTTTACCAGTTCGGTTTTGTAAAGAAATCTTAAGTTCTTTAGCAGTTTGAAGGCATCTTGTTTAATTTCATTTAAAACCGACCTCTCCTCTCGGTCATTTAAGATCTTGTTGTGGCCTTTCCTGCTTTTATTGGCAAATTTAAATTTATCACGGAACCGCTTAATAATATCGTGGACGGTGGATTTGCGTTTTCCAACTAATTCTTACAGTTTTTCCTTCAAAATTTAGCTTAACAACTAACTGCCGAACTTCCACAGAGGATTGCTTTTCATTTGGAGCCAATTATAATAGCATAATTATGTTTTCTGCTCCTAATCTCTATTATAAACCAAACGCAATGCAAAAAGCCCAAAGCTTGCAGCGAATTCCAGGAAAAACGAGGACGGAAGCTAACTTCGGCAAGCCGAAGTTTTAATACCCTTGCAGACTTTGCCGAAATTGCTAAAACTGAAAAAGTAGCGAAAGGAATAAGGTATACATAAATAAACTAGATTTGCATCGTTTAATGTCAATTGCTTTTATACTGCAAAAATGTCATATAAAAATAGAAAAAAAGGAATACTTTCGCAGCCTTTAACTATTTTTCCTACGGAAGCTGTAAGAAATAGACGTCCGATCGGCAAGCGCTTTTACCCTAATCAAGATATGCGTAAATAAATAAGATTTGGAAAAATTTATGTCAGTAGCTTACACACTACGCGAAAAATTCAGAAAATCATCAAATTTGGACCGATTTCACCCTGTTGTTCCTATGGAAGCTGTAGGATATAGACGTCCGATCGTCACGTGCTTTTACCCTAATCAAGGTATGCATAAAAAAATACGATTTTGAAAGATTCATGTCAATTGCTTATATACTGTGCGAAATATCCTAAAAATCATTAAATTTTTAACCGATTTCACCCTATTGTTCCAATGGGAGCTATAGGATATAGACGTCCGATCGCCAAGCGCTTTTACCCTGATCAAGGTATGCATAAAAAAATAAGATTTGGAAAGATTTATGTTCGATGACATCATAAGTCAACATTAAGTTTGATTTAATTATTATTATTGTTATGAATAACTTCGTTCAAGCTGATTAATAATTTGAATTCTTTGCCAACTTGTTATATTTAATTACCCCACACTGTAATCTTATGCTAATGTTTTGAATTCGCCTTACGCTCTTTTATACAAGTTAATTTCCAGGATAATAAAAACCCAAAAAATAAGTTTTGAACGTTTGATTTATTCGGAGTTCAATTTGAGACTGATTTTATTCATTTAAAAATTCCCTGATCTAAGCTGTGGGTTGGGGCAGCGACGTCGACGTCGCGGAAGAGACCGCGGCGGTGGCCTAGTTCTGGTGGAGCGGCTGAAACTGCAAGGTTTGCAGAATCGGCATTTTGGTACTGCGCTGTGGCTGCTGACCGGATGCGTGTGTTTATGTTATTGAACTTGGGGGTTCTTGGCGTGTTTATGTTATTGAACTTTCGGGCTCTTGACCGTTGTATTGAAATGTTGCAATGTTGCCATCGACAATGTTGCAATATTTCTCGG